TTGTTGGTTTAATGGCAGCAACATAGTTATTGTTCATCGTTCCTTTCAGAGGTGCCAAAGAAGGGAGGGGGGACGACTGCTTCAGCTTCCCAGTGAAGCTGAATATCGGAATGTGCACCAACGGGAGTCATTTAGAGAACTGATGGTACAACAAACACTGCCAGATCCTGACCTGGACTAAAAACTGTCTCCAAGCGAGTCTGGGGGTATATCAATGCAATGGGTCCCTTGTCCCATTCCCCACCTTCATAAATGCAGTTCAATATGCAGTATGTTTACTCAAGCTTATGATTGTTAATATGATAAACTATTAATATTTTATGGCATCAAATCACACCAAGTGCAAATGACTGGTTCGAACAAAAAGCAGGATAATGACTATTCTTCGATGCATGACTTTCATACCCAGTTACATGTCAGAGACATGAACCTACAAGAACGACTGCACAGAACCAGATAATTATCATTCATCATACTGTATGCGGCTCAGCAAGTTATGACACTGTACTAGTGCTCAGAAGATCACCAGGTCAAATTCTATGGCTGTCAGAGTGATTTCGCCATTGGGCCTTCGGGCAAGGCCCTTCCCCTGCACTGCTGCAGAGACTGGCGGACCCTGATTTCTTGAGTCTGTGTCGCTTTGAATAAAGGTGCCTACTACATATGGAATTTTGCGTTCCAGACAATCCTGAACATTTAATTAATCTTAACTGTGTTATTGTTGTTTAACAGGCTAAAGAAATACCCTCATGGAAACGTCAAACAAGATTCAGTTAAGATTCAGGGGTCCAGCACTTTATTGGGGCCCATAAAGCGATCACCTGCTTGGGTGACTAAGGGCGCTTTTCCACCGCACAAAGTACGGTACTATTACTATGAGTAATAGTGTAGTAATAAATGAATGCTGTGGTAGAGCAGTGAGTACCACTGTCACTTCGTACATCAAAGGCATTCAAGGATACATGGTATGTAGCAGTTTTATCAAACAAAATTTTATTATAAAACAATACTTTTCAACAGAACCTTTGTTAAAATGTAAAACATGGAAAGTAATGTTGCAGTAAGAACCTGCTCTACCAGCTTTGAGAGGACCTTCACGTAACGTTAGGCAAAGTTTTGGGAACGTTCTCTACATGTTAGCGGTGCCAGATTATCAAGTTTAGAGGCCCCTAGGCTACACTTTCCGTAGGTCACTCGTCTGCCCCCCACTCCCCAAAATGATGCAATTAACTACAAAATTACTAACTGTTAGTAACTATAAAATAGTCTGTACAAGTCAAAGACAATGTGATGTTGTATCAAAAGACAGCAATCACATCAGAAGAACAACAAACTTGCAAGCCACGTTTTCACATCGGTCACATGCAGCCACCAGAAAGAGCACAACAGAGGCCTCGTTCAATAAATACAGTAACGTTTAAACATCACACTATGATCCAGTGCATCAGCTGCATCCACAATGCACACTCGACACATTTACAATCGATAGCGTAGACCATACTTTACAGAGAGGGGCAAATTCCAAAAGTATGTAAAACAAGTTCTTACCATTAAAATGTTTTCCTCTGTGCATTTTTCATAAAGACCAACTCCGTGTAACAGAAACAAACCACGCATACACCTTCCAGAAAGTACACAACAGTATAAAAAGACACTTGTAGAATTGGTCTCCCCATTCAGGTTTAACCAGTCACCAACTCAAACTCAAATAAACAACCAGAAGAGGATCACTTTTAAAAAAAGAATTAAAAAAAAGAGATGGCCCTACTCACTCTGGGCGTCTAGGCTGCAGTCTTGGCAAGCCTGTATGTTATTAATCTGCCCTTGGCTGTTAGGTGGGATGATGAGTCTAGAGGTCAGTGTTCATAGAGGATATAGACACATTTCAAAGTAACTGATCTATATGTCATTGGACTGTGGGTGAAAATCTGTCCAAAAAGTGGAAAACCTCACACCCTGTAGGTCAGGGCACAATCCTGTAACCCAAAACCCAAGCCAGTGCGGCTAATTTAGACGTGCGGATTTAGTGGAGCAGTCTCTCGTTTTAGAAGGCTGCAGTTATAATTTGTACAAAGAACTGGTGACATACAATACATGCTTTTATTATGGTGAAAGTTCAAACGAAAACAAAACTCAATATGCTTCATTGTCTACATATTTTCTTTTAGCTTTGCTAAACACAGTAGGTACAAAACACAATGAAACAGAAGTAAAACTATTACAGATCGAAATACATGTAAGTTTCACAACAAAGGTAAACAGCAATCAAGTTTCATCAAGCCTCTTAAATATTTCTGTTTCACTATGTGGTTCATGTGAGTAGCATAATTGTGTAATTGGTAGTGCTACGGTGGGTTCTGAATTTACATGCCAGCTTGGAATATGCTCACTGTAACCCTTACTGCACACGTGGTTATGTAATGCATTTATGTGCGTCCTAAATAATATTCTAAGTTTTCATTATTGGCGTTGTTGCAACCGCGTGTTGCATGCAAAAGACGAAGAACAATTATTAGGTTACATTTGGCATTAATTCTGTTTACAGTTTTGACACCCCAGTAAGGTTTCAACAATTTGCCTTCTGGGTTCCGCAAAGGTGACAATAGAATGGGCGTATGCCGTGAAAACTGTGCACAGAAGCGCCAGTGGGCTAATCTCGGGTTTGTAGCCCCCTGTAGAAATACGAGATGCCACCCACAATTAAAACTGCCGAGACGTTAGGGGTGGGGTGATAATGTTTGCGGAGAGGGGGTGCGACTATGGAACTAAAATCGCGTGCCTGAAGCCATCTCGAGGCTAAAAACAATGACAGAAATTCCATATTTTTCCATTGTAAACTTATAATTATTCTTTTTCCACCCAATCCGAGACAATGGGAAACATGCTTCTTCTGTTAGTATCAAGATTTAATGATGCCTGTGTGCTTGTATGCGGCAGAATTTCGAAAAATTAAAAGAAGAAAACACTATCTTAAAACAGGCTTCCACACCAAGTCCGTCAAATACAGCCACTCGTGGGAAATATCAACATATTTTAAGTTCGCTACATTAATTTGCATAGAAGAAATGTATGACTTTTACGGAACATCTTTAAAGTTGATTTGCTTTCGATTTCTGGTCTTGGGACAATGTGGATATTTAAAATATTCGAACGTCTTTTTTTTATCTATTGGCATACAATCGTGTGAACAGAATATTCTTTGTAGGAAAAAAGTTTCGAAGATTTTAATCTGGGAAAGCAGAAGAGCTGTCTATGCATTTTTTTCCCCATTATATAAAAAACGCATAATTATCGTATTCATCTTGTAACATTTTACACAATGTGTTATGCAGTTTGTCACGAAATAAACCAGTTTGGCTTTTATGACAGCGTTTACAAACTATCAAGCTTAATTAGAATCCCAGGTATCAATTAAGTCCCATGTTTAAGCGTGATAAACATCACGGAGTTTTTACCAAAATTATATCATGCGTTAAAATGTCAGGAATTAGTTCATTATTTCTTTAATTGTTCTTTGAGGTGGGATAGGTAAGTTGAATGTTTAATACAGATGCAAACATTTTCTGTATTACTGCATTTTGCAAAACTATTCGTGTCATATAGAAAAAAGTAAAAGAAAGGGAGAGATTTAGTAAGATAACAAAGACCTTAAAGGCGCCCCAGGATCGCATACACACAAAGGCGTGTTGGCGCTTGTCTGGGACTGTAAAGAAAAGCTCGTTTGCTTGGCTGGAACTCTCAGTACGCCAGACACGAACGGTAAGGTAGCAATGCAGCGCATCCAGAAAGAGGTCGTCATCCCGCCACAAATTAAACCCAAAGCTCCAGTAAGCGACTTAAACCTGCCTCAAAGGACACTGCAACTGGAGGGTGGAAGAGTATGCAACGCTTTATTTGTCCTGGGCACCCAGCTGAATGTGAACCTGTTCAGGTAAGGTTAGAGGACAGTATAGTTGTTTAAAAAAAGAACTTTGCGATCCCTTGTTGGATAAGCGGTGGAAAGACGGGAAAGATAAAAAAAAAAGATTTAACGTCTGGTTCTTAGCGTGGGTTAGGGTGACCACCTAATCCATGTCAGGAGGGACACTATGAGCTACAACAGGATTTGTAAACTACCATTTCATACATTTCAATTAAAAGGAGCAGGATTTCACTTAAGCACTGGGTTCTTGCCGTATGCTGATTGGTCAGTCTCCTATAATCATGCATATGTGTCAGTAATGTTAATGCGAAACAGCTGGATGAGTCTTTCAATCTAGGAACTAACCAAACATTTTAGCAGAGCACAGAATCTTTTCAGCTTTAAAGTAGTTCGTAAAAGCTGAAGTAGCTCATAGTGTCCCTCCTGACATGGATTAGGTGGTCACCCTAGCGTGGGTAACCGGTGTAGTAAAATATGCCTTACGCTATGCAAATACACTGCTTGAACAAATACTAGCATCGGTACTTTCCACCCCCCAAAAAGTAGTTCTGATTGTGTCTCCGTTCTTGCCAACTCCTCAGCAAGGAAACTCGCTATTGGCTGTCCCAAAAGTCGCTAGAAGTCGCTAAATGACGCCATCGCCTCATTTGCATAATGTGAATCTAATTGTAATGGACACTGTAGGAGAGAGGAATAATGTCGTGGGAGAGACAACAAGTGTTTTTCCATAGATACGTTTATATCAGCGGCAAAAGTGACCCCAAAGACTAAAGAGATACTCTGGCAGAGTTACTTTTTTAGGTGTACAAGTCACAGTAAACAAGTGAACCGTTAACATTTTTAACCATAGCATTTTTTGTATAAAATCTACATTAACAATCTAAACGGATCAAAAAAGGACAAATGAAAAAACTGTCAATGGCATTGTGAGATAATGATGCGCATCTCCTGCTGTGACTGCAGCTGGGCGGGGCTGCTGCACGCGGACTGGCCACCTGTGAGTGCTTTGTGACGGGAGGGGAGCTCACGGCAGCACCCGCTGCCCTGTGAGAAGAGTAAGGACGATACGTGCTTTCACGTCAGAGTCTCCAAAAGTCTCCAGTAACATCAGAAAAAGTCGCTAGATTTGTCGCTAGTCGCTTTTTTGAAAACGAGTCACTAGAGGGGTCTAAAAACTCGCTAACTAAAGCGACAAAATCGCTAAGTTGGCAACACTGTGTGTCTCAAGTACACACGTTTTTGTGTGTTACACTGGCCTCTAGTGACCAAATAATTTGACTGCATCTGAAACGGTCCAATCAACGCTTCGGGGGGGAGGGCAGGACGGACTCACCTGTTGCTGCCTGAGACCGACCCCCCTGTCAATAACGCGAGTCCCCGGCAGTAGCCAGGGCTGAAGGGAAGAGACACGCTTATACAAGTGGACGGACTTTGTTGAAGCTGTAACAATGAACCACCCTCGAACGCTTCGACTCGAATACGGGAAGTCCGTGCAAGTCGTGTGTGTAGTCGGAAGGGAGCTGACAGTCGGATTGCAAAGGTACAAACTGCTGGCAATACAGTTACAACAGATAGTGATCGTGATGTTTAGTTGCATCGATTTAGAAAGTGCACGGGGAAATGGGCTGTACATGCATGTGTCAGATTCGCATCACGAATATAGTCTTGTATTCGGATATGCCCGTTTAATAAAATTCGTCGCCGTTATGTATATCTAAGGTCATTTACAACCGGAAATGCATTAAAGACAAAAGGAAACAAGTGAAAACGTAGAAAGAAATGCCATGGGTTGTCACTAATACGCTGTTATTAACTTCAAGGTACTTTTATTTATGACATGTACTTCAAAGTTATTGCATAATCAAACATGAGAAGATTGTTTTAATTTTTATTAGGCTATCCTTTTTCAGTAATTTTCTGTTGCAGTCCAAAGACATGCATTTATGTGGAGTCTCCAGTTTGCTAGTGTTAATAAGCAGCCCGTCTAGTGTGTCCCTCCTGTGCCCTGGGCAGTGTCCTGCCCCCCTCCCCTACTGCCTATATCTATATGTTAATTGAACAATAATGAAATGTATCGAAATGTATGAGCAAGTGCTTCGAACGAATTATTAATTCAGACTTTGTGCGCAATATACGTAAATATATATTGACAGCCTATTCTGTTGTTACGGTGATATATCTGATATATTGCTGGCATATGGTTGCGTGCCGCCATAGAATCTACTCCTGCTTTGCGAACAGTTAAAGGCTTTTTTCTGCACAGCTTTCCAGTAATTTGTCTAGGTTTTTAACCGTGTCTGAAGATCACGAAGATGAAGTGCTCCAGCGTGCTTATTCGGATTATTTAAGCCTGTGTCAAATACCTTTTAGTACTGTTCCTGTATAATTTCCTTTTAGTCACATAAACACCACGCACAGAAATCCAGCAGCAGCATACAATGATGTATTATTCAGTGATTCTACAATTTGCCATTGTTCATCTCAACCAGTTCAACCCAGACGCTGGAATGTGTAATAAAATATGTCCAGCGCTTTTGTTCACCTCTGCTTGTGGACTTTTTGTGCTTCTGAAGAGAGAAATTGCCTGGAATTCGCATGAATCAGGCTTAGTTTTCGTTAAATTGTTGCTATGATTATTATTTTGATGGATGGCGCTTGTATTCACAGCTAGATGTGAAGTTCATTGTGCCGTGTGAAGTCGTTTGCATTTGCTTCATATTGCTTCCAGACACGAGCGTCTGGTTCGTTTCCCTTTTACTAGTGTCAGCCTATATACTGTAGATACGATGCTTACGCCGACTGCCAGAAACCTGACACTGCTTTCCACGTTTAAGAAAGTCGACATCGACCCCGCTTTTAATGCAGATACAGCTTTGGTTGATGGATATGCATGTGATTAATTAAATGCCTATGAAGTCCATTAGTTAGGTAAATGTTTTTGCATTAGCGTGCTCCGAACGCCGATAACTGTCAAAGTCGCCGCAGGCGCTGTCATTTTCGCAACTTCGATGTTTACACAGGTTGCTTTGCACTTCCTAATTTGCGAAAACAGACAAATGATTTAGATTTCATACGACTGTGTCAGACTGGAAATGTTACTACATAAAGGATACACACCCCATATATTTCAGTGACGTTTGGAAATAGTGGTATAAATAAAAGCAAATTTAGCTAAATCTATAGCTAGTTCCTGCAACCCTGCTACGTTTATAATTGCGAAATGTATAAGATGTTAGGTTTTATTGTGTTTTAGAATTTAAGGTTAAATGAACGATTAAAATGAACTCGTCGCTCTCCTTATAAGGGTGTGGTTTCGGCCGTATGGTTGGCGGTTGATGTACCTTCTGACGTCAACATCTCCATCTGTTGCACATTAACTTTAAAATTATTTCTTGAATTTGTGTCCGAAAAATTCAATTTTATCAGGTTATGTTAAAATCTGATGCACCTTCTCTCTATCACAATTTTCCTAAAAATGGTCACTGCATTTTCATTGGTTGTTCTGGTCGTTCCTCGCTGGATCCCCAGTTGAAGATTTCCATTCTCCGTCTCCAAGTAGACACGGCCCCACGGGACTCTTACAGGCAAATACCTCCCGTGCTGGGTACCGTAATTAGGCCTGTTGAAATGAAAATGAAAAGAAGTGAAATGGTATAATCCATACTTATCCACAGAGGTAAGCGCCATTTTCAAGTCGTCCCTAAGGTTCTGTAACTAGGGTTCTGTAAATGCTGTAACAGTAGACTGACACAAACATAAGTGCTGTCTTTAAATAAACTGGCATATCATGGTCTTAGTCTAAATACAGACAGTGGCAGGGCACTGGGCTAGTCCATATTTCTGCTGGATTCTCTCCGATAGGAACTATGTGACAGTAACCATGACTGGGAATGGGGGGGTTGCACTTTCTTTCCTTGCAGGAGTGCCCCGCCTGGTGCCAAAAGCTTCTCTGTGCAGTGCAGCCCTACAGTGCAGTACAAGATAGAGCCCAGACCCAGTGATGGCAGCTTGCCTACACAGCCCCTTGTCAAGATGTCTACCCTGTTGTTCACCATGGACACGGTCAGCAAACAGGCCAATGAGAGTAAGGTAAGGTGGGCCACACAGACACACATATTTATACATACCTGAGATATATATACACACTATATAGACAAAAGTATTGGGAAACACCTCTCAATTCAAGCGTTTTATTCAGAGCCATTGCCACAGGTGTATAAAATCAAGCGCATAGCCATGTAGTCAAGTTTGCAAATATTTGCGAAAGAATGTGTCATTCTGGTGAGCTCAGTGAATTCAAGTGTTGTGCTTGCACAGGATGGCACCTTTGCAATAAGTCAGTTTGTGAAATTTCTTCCCTGCTAGATTTCCTGCGGTTAACTGTTAGTGGTATTATTGCAAGATGGAAGCATTTAGGAACAACAGAAACTCAGCCACGAAGTGGAAAACCACATAATGTACCAGAGGGGGTCACCCAGTGCTGAGGCACATAGTGTGTAAAAGTCACCAATGCTCTGTTGACTCAATAACTGCAACATTCCGAAGTTCCTCTGATCATTAACTCCAGTACAAAATCTGTGCACCAAGAGCTTTATGGAATGGGCTTCCATGGCCAAGCGGCTGCATGCAAGCCCCACATCACTAAGGATGCTAAGCATCGGATGGAGTGGTGTAAAGCACACTGCCACTGCACTCTGGAGCACTGGAAGCGTGTTTTGTGGAGTGATAAATCACACTTTTTCAGGAAAATGTCACCTGACTGATTGTGCTGTACCAAATGTAAAGTTTGGTAAAGGAGGGATAATGGTGTGGGGTTGTTTTTTGGGGGTTGGGCTGGGCCCCTTAGTTCCAGTGAAGGGAACTCTTAATGCTTCAACATACCAAGACAGTTCGGACAATTCTATGTTTCCAACTTTATGGGAACGGTTTGGGGACGACCCTTTTCTGTTCGAGCATGACTGTGCCCCACTGCACAATGCAAGGTCCATAAAGACGTGGTTTGGTGAGTTTGATGTGGAAGAACTTGACTGGCCTGCACGGAACCCTGACCTCAACCCCATTGAACACCTTTGGGATGAGCTAGGAGGAGATTGCGAGCCAGGCCTTCACGTCCAACATGACTGCCTGACATCACAAATGCTCTTCTGAATGAATGGGCGAAAATTTCCACAGAAAAATCGCAAAATCTTGTGGAAAGTCTCCCCAGAAGAGTGGCAGCTGTTATAGCTGCAAAGGGGGGACCAACTCCATACTGATGTCTATGGATCTATAATGGGATGTCATAGAAGTTCCTGTCGGTGTAACAGCCAGGTGTCCCGATATTTTTGTCCACATGTCTGCAAAACACTCCCATAGCCTTGGTTTGTTTCCCAGTTTAGCTAACATGAATCTTAAAAGCAATTGCATTCACGCGCAGCAGATTGGTGGCATAGTTGTTAAAGACACAGGTGCGTAATCTGAAGGCAAGCATGCTGTTGTAACTGAAGTGCATAAAAGCATAAAAATCTGTAGGTCCTCCCCACTAGCTTTTCCTTTAAATTTCTTCGGTCGGTTTCCTCTGTCTGTCCAGAGCCACGCAGCTCCCTGCCTGGCTCTGCTTCCAGAGAAGCTGACTGGCTGGAGGCTGATTACATGCTGTGGTGTGTGTGTGTGTGTGTGCAGATAGCATCTGTTTGTCTGTAAATATTCAGCCTTAGCTAGTGTGGGTGGAAGCCTTGTTTGGGTCTCTGGCTGACCAGGCTGGATGGCATCCTTCACCTCCTTCCCCTCCTTTCCCCAACCCCGCAGCTGTCCGTCAGGTATTATGGAGAGAAGACGGAGGTGCTGGCGACAGCCATCGTCCACCTCACCACCATCGGTAAGCGATCATTTAGGAGAACATGCCTGGGAGGAGGACCCAGTCTGATAATAAAATAAGCCAAAGAGGGCCACAGACAAGTCATGCCTGAAAAACTGTCCAAAAACCCCTCATAAGTCACAAGCCACGTCACTTTTCATGCTACCCTGACTCTCGAAAACCAGGGATTTATTTTTACTATTTATTAAAATACATTTTTATAATATAAAAGGGAAAAAAACTAAATTTTTAGTAGTGATGGCCAGATGAAGCTTCATGAATCGTTTGCTATATTTTCTGGCAGCACTTGATGGTGCGCTATCTTCAAAAGGGCTCAAAGCATGCCTCAAAGTAAACCAAGAGCACCATCTAGTGGGGTCAAAAAATACAGCAGATGGTTCATGGAGCTTCACATTCATCACTAGTTTTTAGTAGGAAGGATAAATATTAAATAAGAATTATAAGAAACTGGCTATATATTTAATGAAGTTGACTGCACTGTTCATCACAGGAATATAAAGTAAATGATTTTAGGTTCGTTGTAAAGTAATCGTTATCTTCATCTGTTCTAATTTTCCTCTTGTTTGCTTTCTCTCCCGTTCGGTGGAGGATGTCGTCTGGCATCTGTATGTTTTGTCTGAATGTGATTCTTTTCTGATTTCTCAGGTATCTCGCTGGATGTGGATGCGGACCGGGACGGCGTCGTGGAGAAGAATAACCCGAACAAGGTGGGCTTTGTTCCGGCCCTTTGTGAAAGGCGTCTGGCGTACGCGGCCGGAGAATGTCAGTGGGCACTACTGTAAGCACTGTGTCCTCTGTCCTGGGAGATGGATGGGGTGAAGTATGACCCAGCACAAAGACTGTGTTCACAAGCCGGTGGTGTGATATTTTATTATTTCGCACCAAACACTGGTTTGGTTTAAGATAATTGATTGGAAGTGTTATGGAGTCCACTAATATGCCAATAATCAAGTAATGAAAATAACTTTTTCATTAGATGCATTTTAAACTGCTATAATTCATAAGGGTTCATGTACGACCCCTGGTGGTGTTAATGTTCTTGTTAGGTACTAAATGTAAAATTTAAAAATGTTAATGAGGTGCAGGGAGAAAATATCAGGACACATACATATACACACATTCATCACACACACACACACACACGCGCGCGCACACACACACGTGCATATATCCCAACAGGAAACTTCAATTCAATTCTTTACTGTCTTGTGTACAAGTACGGGTACCATGTACAATGAAATGCTTGCTTGCATGTGCTCCTGCAGACAGTGAACATAGACAACAAGACAATGAGTAAATAAATAAATAAGGCCAGAATCCCAGGAATAAATAGAGACAGAGACAGAAGTATATGTGTGGGTAGCAGCGGAGGTGACACAAGGTTACTGATTGTTCATGCGTCTGATTGCAGTTGGGTAGAAACTGTTCCTGAACCTGGAGGTGCGCGTCCGAATGCACTTTAGTGGCTTCCCAGATGGGAGGATGGTGAAAAGTGACAGTGCAGGGTGGCTGTGGTCCCGCCTGATACAGTTCACTTTCCTGTACTTCACTCTGTACTTATGTGTGCAGTGTTTTAGAGGGGAGTAAAAGGCACATTTTCATTGAGGGGGGGGACGTTCTCTCCTGTAAAACAACAGCACATCAGCAAACCAGTCAAACATCTTCTGAACCTAATCAGTGGCTGGGTGGCCGCTGATGTCGGCCACCCAGCCTTTCCAGGGGATCTCGGCTGTGGTCTCAGCATCGCTGTTCCCGATCGCAGGGCTCCTGGAAGTGGGGTCCCAAGGGACACGGGGCCATTCTCCTGGTCAACTGTGACTCCGAGTCCGTATACAATAAACAACTGGACCTCGAAAGGGAGGAGGTAACAAAGGTCTCAGGTGAGCCATGTTGGAATGTTCTTGAAGTTGTGGTGTTTGACTTTTTTTGGTCCTAACTTCTTCCTGGTTTAATTTTTCACTGACTTGAGGGAGTCACTTGAACTGCAACGCATTTTGAAAAGCTTCATATGCCTGAGACTGCGCAGCTTAAACGCGAGTCAGTCATCATGCGTGAGCTTACAGCACCATGTTGGCCTTCATCCAGCACGAACGTTTCAAGAGGAAACGGCCCGCATTCACAGAAGGCTGCGGGGAATGTTTTGCCGTGTTACGCGACAGTGTTTATCCTGCTGTCCTGAGATAACCCAGTGTGCTAGAGCTAACCTTAGCACAGCGGAGGCCCTGTTTTTAACCACAGGGAAATTAACGACAGCGGGCTAAGCATTACAGCTTCGATAAATATTTGACTATATCTTATTTGGTACTTAGTCACTATACTCATCAGCATATTTTTTGTTTTCACTTATTATATTGGATTTTAGTGAGTCAACTAGCTGGAGTACATTGTAGTATATTTTAGAGTAATTGTGGTGTATATATAGTACCAGTCAAAAATCTAATCACACCTTTGTAGTAAGTATTATCTTGTGAACAAGGAAAGACAGCGAGTGCCGCGACAGATGACCTGACCCCCACGATCCCCTGACCTAAACCCTATAGAGCTGGTTTGGGATGAGTTGGATAAGGTAGCCAACTTGTGCCCGGAACTTGTGTAAACTTGTGCAGGACCACTGGAGAAGCATTCCAGGTGGCTACATCTGGAAGCTGGTTGAACGAATGCCATGAGTCTGCGATGTTGTCATTGAAGCAAAAGGAAAAAGGAAGTTATTATAAAATCTGAGAAAGTCTTGAGATGATGAACACTTCTCTACAGGCTGAATAACAGCTAAAATAAAGACAAATGCAGTAAAATCGCATGTATGTAGGCTTTCGATTGGTACTTTCGCTTAAGGAAATGGTTGTACTTTGATGCATCTGTGGGACCCAAGCAAGTTTCTGATGGGGACTCTGTTGTCATGTGATCACTTCCCAGACCTGAAGGACATGTCCCGCATGATTCTTCGTACCAGTGGGCCAGACCAGCTCCCAAAGGGCTACAAGCTGGTTATGCACATCAACAAGAGCGACAGCGAGAGAATCAGAGTGTTCCGGCGCCAGGGGGGCACAAGCCAGAGCTTTTTCAGTAAGCCTGATGTCCCTGAAATCTTCACTCTACAATAGCCCTGAATATTTTATCACCAAAAAGCTCCAGTTGATCATTACGAATGAAATGTTCTTAGCAGAAAACTGTAATTGTATGTTCCCCAGACTTAGTACATCCCAGATTCTGGATTGCTGTCTTACATTTTTGACAAAAAAAGTAATTGCCAAAAAATTAATGTAAAAAAGAGGAAAACTAAAAAAAATATCCCCGTGTGTCCATTTTAGACAACTTGCTGAAGAACTTCATCAGGGAGTTCCCTGTGGTTCTAAGCCATGACGTTCTGTCTCGGGAGGTGCCGTACAAGGGCACCGGTGAGCTGGATTTCTATGTGGAGGGTCTGCGGTTTCCAGACAGGGACTTTGACGGCCTGGTGACGGTGTCCCTCAGCCTGCTGGAGCCCTGCAGCCAGGTCAGCTCACAGCATGCCCTCAAACTGGGTGGGGGGGCTGAGGATCAGCTTAGTCAGCACACTGTTATTTATACTGTTATTTATAAAATCACTGCTGCTATAAAATTAGTATAATTAGTCCTGATTAATGTCTTCTACAGATGATAATTTATAGTATTATATATTATTGGGGGCAGACCTAGGATTTGATCCCTCACCCCCTGGATCACCCACGGTTACATTTGCAAATGGGGGGGGGATGTTCCCCCACGATTATATTTGCCAACTGGGGGAGGTCCCCACGATTAAATTTGCTGGGCAGAGGATACAAAATATATACAAAAACAGGAAACAAATAGACAAATCACTAACTGGTTTTACAAAAAATATTTTTCAGGGTGGCTGGGACAAAATATAGAGGGACCCTATATAGGGACCGCCTCTGTGTATTATGACTGCGATTAAACGAGTCATTAAGAACGCCTTCCCCTATTGGAAGATAAGTTTGTTCTCAAGCCTGTGAGTTGCATACTGTGACATGAGATCTATGGTTCAGAGTGACTGATTGGCTAACACTGACCCCTGCTGTCTCCCTGTGCCGCTGCACCCATGGCTTTCTCTCAGGGTACCTCCGCCTACATGACTTGTATTTTTGCACAGGATTTCCCGGAGACGCCTATCTTCACCGATAAGGTAGTGTTCCGAGTCGCTCCCTGGATCATGACGCCCAACACTCTCAAACCTGTGGAGGTATTCGTGTGCAGGTGAGACTGGCAAAGAACGATGAGAGTGATGATTAAGATGATGCGGTTGACATTGATAATTGAGATGACCAAAGCACACAATCGGAATTTCACTGACAGTGTGAAGGACAACAGTAAGTTCCTGAGGAGCTTCAAGGATCTGGTTGCCCGGAGTGCCTGCAAGATGACAGTGTGCTACGAGTACATGAACCGCGGGGACCGCTGGATGCAGGTAACTGAACGCCATGGTGGCCGGGCGTCCATGCCTCAACAAATTGCCCCGGAATCATTAAGTCCGCTCCGTCTCTTACGCAGGACGAGGTAGAATTCGGCTACATAGACTCTCCTCACCAGCGCTTCCCAGTGGTGCTGGACTCCCCACGTGACAGGGAACTCCAAGATTTCCCATACAATGTTCTACTGGTAGGAAATGCTTGTGCAGTTCTGGGCTATTTGCCATCTATAATTTTCAGCATAGCCCAATATATATTGCCCATGTTCTCATTTGTACACGGCACCTCCGTATCCACCCAAGTATGTTTCCAAAACTTTTCTTCTGCCTGAGTCCGGTGTCCTAACACAACCCCAGGGCCCAGACTTTGGTTATGTGACCAGAGAGCCCCAAGATGAGGAAGTGAGCAGCCTGGACTCTTTTGGCAACCTGGAGGTCAGCCCCCCAGTCACGGTGAATGGGAAGAGCTACCCGCTAGGCAGGATCATCATCGGAGTGGCGTTTCCCACGTGAGTGCGGCGCTAACAGTCTCGGGAGTCCTGGGGAGGGAAAAGCCTGCTGGCGAATCCCTTGTCGGAGGCCCTGTCAACGTCTGTGGTGTGTTGGGTTACAGACAGGATCTGGAAACTTCCATGTGTGGCCATGAGTCACGGCGCCACTTAAGTGTCTCGGATCACGGAGTCCCTCAGAGCAGTTTGAAACACACTGTCGCTTTCAGTTATATAAGTGACAGTCATTCAGCTATACACACACTATAAATATATATACAGTGAACGGAAATGTTTAAATGATCTCATTGTTGGTCTAAAACTACGATATTATGTCTGGCAAACTGTGTTAGCTAAGCTGTTCCCAAACCTCTCTTAAACACACCCCAGTGTTTGCAGCAGCCTTCCATGTATTTTTTTAACTAGACAACATCCCCACCTTGTTTGGCTAATCAATACCTCATTGAGTTATTTAACTAACTGAGTTAATCAATTGAGCTGGCGGTGAATTGTAACAAATGGAATGACTGACGTGCCCCTGAGGAGAGTGAATGAATGATGAATGAATGAATCCAGATAATTCCAAAGAATTTACAAAAACATAACTGTATCTAACCTAGGAATAGATAAAATTTCTTCCGTTTGCCATGAAATCTATGCATTCTGTAAATCTCTTCTCTTTCTCTGCCTAAAATTCTTTCCCAGGGTCCTTGCACATCACTAGAGTTCTCAGTGCCGATTATGATAGTTTGCACGTGGGCTATAGTAACTCTACATTTCCATCTCCTTTAGAACGGATCATGGTCGCAACATGACAAGAGTAGTCCAAGATTTCCTGTGGGCTCAGAAAGTTCAGGAGCCCATTGCACTCTACTCTGATTGGCTCATCGTGGGTCACGTGGACGAGTTTATGACCTTTGTCCCAGCTCCTGACAGGAAGGTAGGCCAAAGCAAAAATCAGAATTGGTGCCTTGCAGAAATAAGATGCCCGACCTGAAGATAAATCACTGTGTAACCAGGGTTTTCGCCTCCTGCTGGCCAGCCCAGATGCTGCATACAAACTCTTCAGAGGATTACAGAAGAATGGCTTTGGCAAGGCCAAGCAGTTTGACGGTGGGTCAGGAGTTTTTTTCCTGTCCTCATCTTAGTCTTTGCTGCAGGAGTCTGTGGTGAAGCTGATTTTTCAAATTTCACCAGGTCTTGAGTTAGCAGAACCAATTTTGGTGGATGACCTCCTGAGTGACGAAACCTTCCGCGATGAAAACAGATACGTTCAAGTAAGAAATCACAACTTCAGACTTGGAACAATTAACACGATATCTGAATATAGCAAATTTAAAGAAGGGTGGTGGATTCATACCTCCAGGGTTAGGGGTTTGAATTCCAGTTTCACTCTGTGTATGTGGAGGTTGCATGTTCCTCTAGTGATGGCCAAATGAAGCTTCATGAACCATTTGTGTATTTTCTGATAGCATTAGATGATGCTCTATGTTCAAAAAAGGGCTCAGAGCATGCCTGAAAGCAAACATAGAGCACCATCTAGTGCAGGGGTGTCAAACATACGGCCCGCGGGCCGAATACGGCCCACTATGGTGTCCAATACGGCCCGCGGGATGATTTGAACAATAGTATTAAATATCAAATCTTTTTTATTATCATCATTATTATTAGTAGTAGTAGTATTAAAAAGGAATGAGTGTTAATTAACAGTTTCTGAGGACTTGTTAAATGCAGTTTTACAGAATATAGTGCATTTGTTGTAATTTGATGCACTATGATTAAAAAAATAAAATAATAAATTCGGCCCGCACATGGTCACATTTTCTTCTCATCCGGCCCTCACCCTAAAATGAGTTTGACACCCCTGATCTAGTGGGATCAAAAAATACAGCAAATGGTTCATCAAGCTTCATTTGGCCATCACTATGTTCTTCCCTGCATAGTGGAGGTTTCTTCCTGTAGTCCCTGTGGTTGGGCTAATGTCCCGGTTAGCTTTACTGTGCAATTGTATGCATGTGCCCTGCATCCTGTCCCCTGGCTTGTGCTTATTGTTGCTTGGGATAGACTCTAGCCCCACCCAAACCCTGTCCAGGGTAGGCATGTGGAAGATGGTTGGATGGATGGATGATATGCAAAGAAGACTTTTAGACTTACTCTGTACTGGACAAGTAGGAATCAAAGATGGATGGATGAGCTATTGAACTGGTGCAATAGGTTACTGGTATCATTAATTTATCACTGGTGACAGTCACGTTTTGGGATCTTGGAGAGTTCATATAAATCTCACATTTCTGTGACTGAAGACAAAAGGACACGCTACTGGAGAATGACATTATTAGATATATAAATGTATGGGCCCAGCTAATGCTATAATTGTCTTGGTAAACAGGGCTGTATAGACTGGAATCGAGATGTCCTTAAGAGGGAGTTGGGCCTGGAGGAGGAAGACATTATCGATCTTCCCATCCTTTTCAAAGTGTCCGAAAGGGAAATGCGAGCCGCAGCCTTCTATCCTGATATGGTGAGAGCTTGATTCCGTCTGTGAACCCCTCCTCTGCTCCCAGAACCCTGCACTGACTCCCTGAGCAGATTGAGAATGGTCTGCCTGTCCACTGGTTTCCACGGTTAACTCAGACCTTCTAAGTCTAACGCACTTCCTTTATACCAATCTTGATAGGTCCTGTGAGGAAACCAGCTAAAGAACAAGTTTATCCATGTGCTAATTAAGAGATAATGAACGACTTCATAGAGGAGCACAATTGTCTGGGATAGTTACCTTAAAAACACTGTCATATATATTCATTTAGCATGAAAGGTTGCATATCTGAAGTAAGCTGAGGTGTTTATTTCCTTTGTTCCCAGGTGAATATGATCGTTCTTGGTAAGAACCTCGGCATCCCCAAACCATTCGGTCCTAAGGTGAATGGACAGTGTGTCCTGGAAGCAGAGATGCGCTCACTGTTGGAGCCACTGGGTCTCAACTGCATCTTTGTGGACGACTTTGCCACCTACCACCTGAAACTGGGAGAAGTGCACTGTGGCTCCAACGTTCGGCGTGAGCCCTTTGAGTTTAAGTGGTGGAACATGGAGCACTAAGGCGGTGGGGGGGGTGGGGTCGAGCAGAGGCGGCTAATGTCAAGGGCAAATCAGTCAGCTAACCCAGTGTGTCTCAACTGGGTCCACGGGGACACCCTCAGATGATCCACGTTTTTGGTAGGGAGCTGTGAGGGAGCAAAAATGTGGACTGTCTGGGGGTTCCTGAGGACTGGGTTGGGAAACACAGAGCTAACCAATCAGAATCATCAGTTCCACACATGACCATCTCTCAAAGACTAAAACAGAAGAAGAAGAAGAAATTGTCGAATGGATAATGAATGCTCAAAGTCTAAATTTTTCTACTAGTTTTACCGAATGTGGTATTGTAACATTTAGCCTGTTTTATTAAATCTTACATTACCTTTATGATTTCTGTGTATTTTCTTCATCTGATGACACTCTTTTGTGGACCAGCTTGCTCATGTATGTCATCTTTGTGAACATCATAAGGTCTAAGAACCCATTAAAATTGCCTGTTAATGTGAAATGAAAATGAGAATTGTTCTTATTTCTTGTAACTACATTTTAATTGCACGTCAGAAATGTTTAAATGGAAGCTTCAGTTGTTTTAATTGAAAAATAGAAAACCAATTGCTTTCATTTTCCATCTTATTTTATGAGGTCTGGACTGCTCGTAAGCTCAGACATCACTCATAAGCTTCATAGATGCTGGCTGACTGGGTAGTACTGTTACCTCATATCTCGACAGCTGGTGGTTTGGGTTCTGCCTCGTCTATGTGTGTAGGCCGTTTGCATGTTCTGCGTGTGTTTGCTTGGTACTCCAGCTTCCACTCGCAGTCTAAAGACATGCATTTGGACGATTTGCCATCTTTGAATTCCCCATGGTAAATGTGCATGTGTGCATTGAGATAAGCAGGCGTGCCATCCAGGATGCTCGCCTGTCCTGTTCCCTATGCGGCCATATGCGGGATAAGAAGCTGGAAGACGGATGGAAGTTTTGTAGAAAATCGATTGGTTGTACTTTATCTAAAATTAACAGGGTATTTTGATTGCGGCGATCTTTACGTGAAAAAGGAAACAAGCTTCCCAAAATCATTCTGGTATGCAGAAACCAGATTCTTCATTAAATTTCTTTATTTTCTATTTGCGAAAGAACAGTGCAATGTTTACAGCTATAACTCTGGAGCAAGATATCTCATCTGACTTTTAAAATGACCTACAATCGCCATCATTCAGCAGTGCTGGAAATACAACATTGGTAGAAGCAGTAAATGTTTTAACAGCTTTTGATCAATTCATTTTACCAGCAGCAGACAGACCACTGACGCAAGGCGGCGTCAGGACTGCGCTACGCGAAGTTTTCCTTTGAATAAAGAGGATAATAGTGATTTTAGGTTATTTAACCTTCCTTGTGGCGCAATCCTCTCATAAACAATATCTAGACAGCCTACAAGAAACACCAGAAGACCGAGCATTGCCATGTCTTTGCCAGTGTCGTAGGTAAACTTCCTTCATGTTGTTATCAAATTAGCAGAAAGACAATTTAGATCCAGCTCTTCCCGTGACGCCTCCTAACCCATGAAAAGTAAGGTTTACGTTAAGATGTATTTAATTTGTTCTGTTATGATCTTAAAAACAAACCGAAATGGTGCGTATTTGCTTTATAGAGAAAATTACGGCAAAGCAATATTGCAGTCAACCTGCAGATTTGTTTTTATTTATCCATAAGATTTAAATAGCAGAAAACAAAAGCGGTATTTTAATATATTAAATTAGTCCGAGTCCAACAGTAAAAGCAACGAGACCACAATGTTACTGCTGATACCATGTCTGATCGGCCTGGTCTAACATGGTGTTACATTCAGCGTAAGGGTTATAAGCTCTGTGTTGATTTTGGTCAAGCTGCTAACTTCCATTATAAGTTACTTTTAAACTGTATATTTTAAAAATATTTCGGAAAGGCAACATATTTCACAGTATTGTTCTTCAGAAGATCACAAGTAAGGTTAAACGACAATTTAAGCTCGTAAATGGCATCTCTTTTGATTCGAAAGTAATAAAAAAGACAATATAGATACAATACGGTCGGATGTAGGCCTATTGGAAATGACGTTATTAAGTTTTTAGAAGTGTTTACATCATTTGCCTTAGTTACATTTACACTCAAACCACTTTTAAATTAATTGAAAATCAGTCTTTTCACACATCAAATATTCACTTATAAGTAATATTGCAAACAAATCTTGCCTCAAACAAGCAAAGTAACAAATACATCGATTTTCTTTTTAAACGGAACTCAAGGACTAGTAGGACGGCAATTTAGTGATGTGGAAACAGTGCCATCTAGTGGATACGGTGAGCTAGTCCAGCAAACGCACACGATCTCCGCTTTGGCACACCGGTGATCGACAAACTAGGTTGCAAGTCACGATGTCGGCTTAGGACAACACGAAGAAGAAGACGAAACAAAACAGGCATTACAGGCTTTTAAAAGACCAGTGTATGAGAATTCGGAAATAGACAGGCCTTAAAAACAAGTAGGCTCTGATACTTTCCAGTGTGAAAATCCCATCGAAGGTGCCAAGACTTGTGTCTGTGTCATTTACTTCAAGTGCATATTCATGCCAGTTCAGAATGTCGCAGCCACAGCTCTGTTAGAAGTCACCACCCTGCTTCAGTCAGAAAGGTTCATATTTCAGCATCCAGCATATTAGCTTATGTATGCAAAACCATGACATTGTTCAGTAATTCAAGGTGCCAGTTGCATCGAAGTTACCCAGATGTGATTTTAATAATTTAAGATGCTGGTTTTGACCTGTCCAGTCTACCATACATGCATGTGATGTAAGTACGTCTCCTCCAATCGGAGCTTGCTGCAGCCAGTTCATTGGATGCAGGGCTGTCATTTTGGAGGGAGATTAAGCGGACAGGCATGACTGCGACCTTCTCGGGCACCGGGGAAGCTGCCTTTTCACCGCAGCCATGCCTCTTGCCCAGAGTGTCTCCAAGCAGGCGTGTGGTCAGAGGAACACGAGCGTGGTAGTGGGATGGGGCAGATTGCCGGGATGGTCTTTGCGAGTCCACATGGCTGGGTTGATGTGGTGGACCTTCGTTGGGCTGCAGAGACCTTCTGCAGGCGGCTGATGTTCACCGGCCAGCTGGCCAGCTTGGGTCGTCCTCGTCCTCTGAGCCAGCAAACCCCATACCTCCCCAAGCTTCCTCCATGGGGGGTCTCTTATGTGAAAGCTGCTGGGACAAAGAGGGCCAGTATGGGATTCATTGTATGATACTGCCTTTATAACCAGGTTGTTGTTGGTTCAAGTCCTGGGGGGGGGGGCAGGGTGTCTGACTGGTCACTGAGGTAAATAAACTGTAATGTCACATGTAAAGCCAAAAATCTGCATAACAGGGGGGGATCTTATGGATATATAGACTGTGCCAGTGAAATATCCATAGATCCATCCATACTTGCATGTCCTATGCAGGATCAGCATATTGGATAAAACATTAACTAAATATGCTGAAAATGCTCTTTCCCTCCAAGGAGAAGCTCAATTAAATAACCTCTTAACAGGAAAATTATATTTACCGACGACTTGTAAATGACAAGGGCTACTTAAGCCCAGCATCAGGGATCTTGCTTCTCATATTAAATGTCACACTGTTTAATGTAGAGAGTTTATTAAAATTTGCAATCCATGCAGTGGCGGAAGTATGCAATGGAAAACACTTATTGAGGATTATTGCTGCAATGCTGTCAGCAATCATGACTGAGCAGAAGATAGTGGACCACAGATCCACATTGACCATCTTGACATAGACAGTGTTCAGTTACTGAATGAAGCTAAGATTAAGTCTTTCAGACAATTTCCCCATTGCAAATGCTGACTGAAAATAATTAATTGGCGGTTCTAGAGCACTTTCCCTGTCTGTTAGATGGATTCAGCATTAATATCACACTTAAGAGAACTCAGGCTTCAGGAAAACGAGGGGATTGGCTGACCTGTTGATGGGCATCCATGACGCGGGCAGGTGGGAGGGGCTAGCAGTTCTGCTGAGGACACACATGGACGGAGGAATAACAGGGTTAATGTGGCTTCATGAGGATAAGCAGTGGCATGCTGGGAGAAGTGGTTACATCAAGAGCAAGAGGTGACAGCACTGGTGAGGTGCATAGGTACAGAGAGCAGGAGTTCCTGCCTGATGTATGTACACACAGCCCCCAGTGTGGCGGGGGTTAAGAAGGGCAGTAGAGGACAGAATGAACATCCTGGCTCCCAACAGAGTTTTGAGGAAACATCACATCGTGCTCAGTGGGGAAAAGGGAAATCCCTGCCTTCTGCGGCTGGCAGGTATTTAAAAGCTCAAACACGTACGAGCAAATAGCATTTGCATGCTGTGCAGTCACTGTTCACGTTGTAGGCTATCGAACTTGGAAAAAAAGAACAGGTCATATTTTAGACAGACCATCCTTCCCAGTGAGCAAACTGCGTGGTTCATAACCAAGCAGGAACACTGGAAAGGCGGCTGCCTATCATGCAAAATGGGATATTAGGTTATGTGATGGGCGGGGCTGTTACAGTTGCTCACCGATAATGGTTTGCTGTTCTTCGGCTGCTCGGCCTTGGCGCGGGTCTCGGTCTGCGATGTGTCAGCAGTCTGGGGCTGGGAGGCAGCTGTGGAGACATGGGAGACACCCCCCCATGTCATGGAGAGTGGAGAATAAAGGTGCCTTTGCACATTAAGATAAGATTCTGGTGCAATGAACCAATGGTCTGCCCTTACCTGGAGGACTGCTCTGATCCAGACCTCCCTGGATTGCCCTTACCTGGAGGACTGCTCTGATCCAGACCTCCCTGGATTGCCCTTACCTGGAGGACTGCTCTGATCCAGACCTCCCTGGATCGCCCTTACCTGGAGGACTGCTCTGATCCA